TTTTTTTTTTTTTGGTACCAGGGATCGAGCTCAGATCCTTGCACTTGTAAGACAGGCACAGTACCACTTAGCTAAATTCCAGGTCCAAGGCTTTTGTTTTTGAGACAGTCTCGCTATATAGTTCTGGCTGGCCTTGAACTCACATCACTAGTAGCTTAAACAAGCCTCAAACTCATGGCGATCCTCCTGCCACAGCCTTCTGAGTGCTGGGATTACAGGTGGGCACCACCACACCCAGCAAGCTTTTCTTAGGGTAACCTTTAAGCAAACTGGAAAGCAAAGAAATGGTAGGAGAAGAGATGAGAATAGCGTACTTGCATCAGTGCCACAGATGGGTGACCTGGAGACCAGGAATACACTGTCTCACAATTCTGCAGGCTGGAAGTCCAAAATCAAGCTGTTGGCAGGGTTGGCTTCTTCTGGGAACTTTGAAAGAGGATCTATTCCAGGTCTTCTTTGGCTCTGTAGATGGCCATCTTCTCTGTCTTCATTCCCCAGAGCATATCTGTGTCTAAATTTTTTCTCTTCTTGTAAGGATACCAGTTATTAGATGACAGCCCACCATAATGACCTTATGTTTACTTGGTTACTTCTAGAAAGACTATCTCCAAGGAAGTCACACTCTGGAGTTGGTGGGAAGTTAGGATTTCAACATATTAATTTGGGGAGACAGCTTTCAATTGATAACAGATGGGAATATCTTTAAAAATTAAGGCTCTAAGCAAAGGTGTGAAGAGGTTCTCTGCAAGAAATCCGCTAGCACATACAAGTTTCTTGTGTTTCCCAACAGGTATGCTTCAGAATCAATCCTTACAGCTTCAAGAACAGGAGAAACTCTTACAGAAAGGTCAGCACATTTACTAGCACAAACGCTAAGATAATGCTCTTTTGCTTGCCCACGTAGAAGCAGGAGGACGAACTACATGGCCTCTTGGAGTCCCAGCTGGTTCTGGGAGTCACTGAGTCAGGGATATAGGGGAGTCTTCTAAGAATGATCACTGGCCCTGGGGACCCCTCATAGCTAGACCTCTATCCGAGGTTCATAAACTGTGAAAAGAATTTCTGCTTTCTCTGAAAACATGATTATGCTGAACATTTCAATAAATTAATTTTGAACTCAGGATTTCATGTCAGTTTTTACACACTTGACGTTCCAAACCACATCCTATCCCAGGCCCAAACCACACAGCATTCAAAAGTCAGTCTCACTTTAGCCCTAAGAATAGTCTGCTGTGCAAGCTTCCATATATACAAGGGGCAACAACTCCTCCCATATCCACACCACACAGCCTTCTGTTTTCTCCTCACAATCACCAGGCGTACTACACAAGAGAAGGCAGACATCGTTGGGATCTCTGGTCATGCAAATCAAGGACAGCGTTAAGATGAAAATCCAGAATTCTGATTCCTAGACCTGTGCTCTTTTCACCCTTCAGACTGCAAGATGGGTAAAAACCATCTTTAATCACATACCATCAGTTGTAGGGTCTCAATGCCATTTTCAAGACTTTGAAAGGAGGATGTAAGTTATACTGAACCTCAGCAAACCCACCTGACAAGCTATCAAGTATATGAAGTATATGACACGCAGTCAAAGAAATTCAACTAATAAGTATTCACTAAAAGTATCTGGCATCAGACAAGACTGAGGACACAAAGTTAAGGGGCCAATCCTGCTTTCAAGGTGCTCAAATGCCAGCTGTCTGTCCAAGCTTAGCAGGGTCCCAAATGAAAGTTCTCTAAGCCAGAAAATTCCACTCCATTCCATCTAGGGCAGGCCCTGCCCTCACTCCTGGGTTCTCAGGGGCCTGGCCTCACTGTCACTGCTCTTTTAGATCAGGCTTTGCCTATGTGGACAACAAAGCCTTCCCTGGAAGTGGAGCCTGAGAGTACAGGGAAGGACAAAGACTGGGATCTCAGAGACCAGCTGCAAAAGAAGACTTTGCAGCTCCAAGCCAAGGAACAGGAGGTGAGACAGTGACGTGACTGTGAAGGGTCACACCTAAGCAACAGGGGAAGCTGCTGGGAGACAGCTGGAGAACAGGGAGTTGGGTTTAAATTGGGATTACATGTGCATGGGTATTCATGGGCCCATATAAAACAACTCTTCCTTTGGGTGGATTTGTCAATCGTTTCCCTGCCTCACTTATCCAGCCCCTATTCAAGGTTTGATTTTATTAGTTACCTTTCAAAAGTCAACCTTGGCTCAAACACATTTGATAATTAATTTCTCAAGCTTTGTCCCACACTGGGTATCTCTGGAAGTTTTATATAGTGTCTCTTAAATAGCAAAAACTTCCCAGCCAGGGATTTAGCTCAGTGGTTCCAGCCTGCCTTGCAAGCACAAGGACCTGAGTTCAATCCAATTCCTGGTACCAAAAAAAAAAAAAAAAAAAGACTTCCCTAGGTACACACACATCCTTGTGAGCATTCAAAAACAACCAGCCCCCAGAACAGACCTGGATTAAAATCACATCCTGGTCTTTTGTGCTACAACTTCATTTTTTGGTATTCCCCATTTACAAAGCATCTGCACACACACTGTCCCATAAAAACGTTTACATGCATAAAATGTAATGGAACACAATCATTTCAACAAGCACATTCCAGACAAACTAGGAGATGGTAGAAAGACAAACTGAAATTCCTGAGAAAAGCTGGGAAAGGACAATGGCTCCATGGGTGAAGGAATACCTTAGTCAGGTCAGAACTCCTTCCTGGGTTCTGTCCCAGACAGAATTGGTGGTAATGACCTTGGTGACATTCTCCCCAGTGCACAGAACTGCATTCAGAGTTAGACAGCCTCAGTGATGAGTACCTCTCCTGCCTGCAGAAGCTACAGGACTGTCGCGAAGAGCTGAACCACAGCCAGCAACTGCCTCCCACAGTAAGACGGTCCACCTTCCTGTACAGCACTAGATGCTGGTGGGACAATTCCATTTTCAGCCAAACCTTGCAGATAAAATTTATCAGCCCACACCAACATCTGACCTCAGGTCCCACTCCACATGGTTTATACCTTGCTGATATGAAACCAGGCAACCATCAAAGAAACACTAGTTCACACATCCACGCCTAATTTTCATGGAACTCTTACACCCAGGAGAGAAAGATCCATTACAGGCTGAACATCCCTTCTCTGAAAAGTCTTACTTTGAAATATTCTGCATTTGAAACTTTTTGAGCATTAGCATGATGTTCAAAAAGTTCTGGAGCACTTCAAATTCCGAAGTATTTGGAACTTCAGATTTTTTAAATTAGGCATACTCAGCTGGTAAAGTTTATGTAAGTATTATAAAATCAAGAAACTCCACAACCTGAAACACTTCAGGTCCCAAGCAGTTCAAATAAGGAATACTCAACCTGTATTAGCTTAAATATGGAAGAATATTCTTTGTGAGCATGATAAGCACAGGCAAAAGCACTGAGGCATACAACCACAGAACATAATTGTGCCAAGTTCTTTCCTATCCTTGATTTTCTCTTCAGCATTTAAATACCTGCTCCCTATGTATGCTCCCTGGGCTAGCAACCACTACAAAAGTGGCATTATCTCAAGGGAGGTGACAGAAGCCAGGACACAGAAGTGAACTGTTTCTCTGCCACCAACCAAGATTTTCCACTGGGCTAGAACAAGATTATGTTCTCCAACTCATGGCTGCTTTCCCCTGTCTCCCTCTCCCTCCACACAGAGGCAATGTGGCCGATGGCTCCCAATACTGATGGTGGTGATCGCTGCAGCACTGGCAGTATTCCTGGCCAACAAAGACAGCCTGACAATCTGAAAAGCTTGTGACAATTGCCGGGGATAAAAACAAAAAACAAGCAATTCAACAAAAATCTCAGGTTTGGTTACTTCATAGCTTGGGTTCTCCCTTCAAATAAACTTGGATTTGAGGTTTTTCTAAGATACTGTAAACAAATTTTACCTCACTGAACTGTTTCTTGGAAGTCTTGATTTATTTGTGAATAACATGATCATCTCCCAAGTGTGATACGTAAGCATGCTGATCCAATCTGTCCAATTCAGTTAGAAGTATGTCTATAAACATGCGGAAACACACAGTCCTTCTCCTTTCCTAGAAGACACTATCATTGTACGCAGGCTACAAGGGCATACTATTTGCCCTCCACAACCCTTCTTTTTCCCCATCTTTCCTTCTATCACTTATCCAATGAAAAAATAATAGGCATCTCTGCTCACGGAAGACATGCCAAACACATACTACCAATGCTACCACCACCACCACCATCACCTATTCCCAGTGTCTCGTTTAGCAGATAAGATTGCAGCATTCTTTCCTAGTGTTCTTCAAACACTTAGACTTGGTACTTGAGGTGATGCCTAGTTGACACCCTCAACACAGAGATGATTGTTTACAGGATACCTTTCATATGAGAGGAGGGTTAAAGTCAGAGGGCCACTGTTGGCAGTGTGACTATTTCAGAGGAGATGCTGAGGTCAGCAAAGTCATTCTGACTCCTAAATCGGGTTCTGAGGTCCTTCTCCCAGGCATTTAGAATGTCCTTCAAGGCTGGGAACAAGCTCTCTGGAACACTAAAAGAATACAGCAAGACTGGGGGCTGACTTGTCAGCCACGAGGTTCGGGCAGTGAACACACGCAGTGGGGCCAGGGTCAAGCAGTTGTCATTTCCCTGGTTCTGGTGAAAAGTATATGAGACAGGATAGCCCAGAAGGAGCCCAAATACAGTACAGAGATTCCAGTCTGAGGAACGGAGCCTGCTGAGAGAGACTCCTAGAGATAGGTCTCTCTGCAGCTCCTGTAAATGCACAGTGATCTCAGTCATGAAGACCTTCAGGTCCCGAAGCTGGTTCAGGGAACAGAGGGAAGGGTGTGGCTGGGAGCTGGAGACATCCACCAATGCTATAGTACCATGTAGCACTTGCTCCAAGCGCTGACATGCATGCTTGGCACTAACAATGAGGCTATTCTCTCCAATCTCAAGAACGTGAAGTCTCAGGTTGAGGAGACCCAGCCTCTGCAGCTCCTCCAGATATCTCTGGAGTGCCAATGCTCCGGCACAGCTGTAGTCATAAAGCACAGCTGGCTTCAGCCCTCGGGACACAGCTAGCACCTCTCCAGCTAAGTGAAGGCAGACGGCTCTGGACGGACACTTTCTCTTTCCCATGCCCAGGGTCTGCTGAGCAGCTGCCACCAGCAGCTGGGGACTTGGTGTTGACATGAGATCAAGAAGCAGCTTCAAGCATGGCCTCCTTAGCTAGCCAGTTCCTTTCCCAGGTCGCATCTCAGCTCCAGACACTTGAGCCTAGAAACAAGGTGGTAGCAGGGAATTAACACCAGCCACTGACACTGCAGAAAACTTACCAACGGCCTTACCATTAGGTCTTATATCTCCTATAGGTTATTTTGACCATCCAGTTTGGAAGGCTGATGTAGGCCAGATAAGTCCACCAGCGTTATCTGGTTAACTTAGTCTCCTTCGGTCCCAAATTCGTGTCTTTCTGGCCTTACAGGCAGATTTATATAATCTCTAACTTCTATTTTAAATGTTCCAAGTTGCAAATTATGTCCCCTAATTCAAACCTTAAAAAGTGTAGAGCAGAGAAAAAAAGGCAGGGCAGTCTAGCAAAATTCACTGCATTTCACCCAAAACTGCCCTTCTGGAAGAGACTTCTAGATTCCAAATGAATTCTTTCCATTGCCAAGTTTTTCCCTTCCCCTGAAGAACAATTGCAACCGCAAACTGATTAACATACACTAGAATGCAGATTAACAACCATCTCACCCTGAGACATAAAAATAAATCAGCTAAAAGGGCAAGAGGGTTGTATTTACTTCTGGGCCCTCTTTCCCCTCGTAGCAGCTACCCAAGGGCTGTGGGAACATAGGACACTTCCAACAAACACACCTCACACCCAAGACGGCAGTGACTTTGACTTGGTATCTGACGCAGAGTTCTCCCTCAATGTTTCCACTTCCGCTGCAGGTACGCGGGCTCAATTTCCGATTTCCTGCCGGCTGTGGGATAGGCGACAAGGCCCCTGCGCCCCGCCACAGCACTGAAACACCCGTCTGCACGAAACAGTCTAGCAGCCTACACAGCTCCAGGTGGCGAAAACAGTCTGTTACGCATGCGCACCCACTCGGGCTCTGCAAACTACGTCTCGCTTCGATGACGTCATCCACAGGCATAGCTCGCTCGCGGTACAACTGGCCGGGCCGCCTCATGACGTCACAGACGTATGTCCCTCCGACGCCCACCCCTTCCTGCCAGATAGAGGCCGCCCCGCCCACCTGCCTAAGGACGGTGCTGGGCGGAAGTGACGCATTCCAAAGTCTGTGTCCGCTTCCCAGAGGAGTTAACGACCGGGCGCACAGCACTTAATAAACACTCGTTGCTTTGTGTCTGGAGAAACACGCCTTTCCAGATGACAGCTGACATACTTTGCAGAGTATCCTGACCTAGGCGTAGTACTGTACAGCTGTTTTTAAAAAAGAGCAAACTTTAACGTCCCTAAATCCTAAAGGCTGCATCCTCGCCCAGGGGAGAGCTCTGCGCAAGGTGCGAAGATGTAAGTATCCGTTCTAAATTTATGTGCTAGGCACAGTTCTAGGGTCTGGAGGTATTTGCAGAAGAGACAGAAACCCACCTTCATGGACCTGTAAGCTTCTGGAGTCCAGTTTGCTGATTTCAAACGAGAAGCGAAGATCCAGGGATTTTTCATTTAGCTTGTTAGGAAGAAAAAGAGTTAACCTAGGCGTTAACACCTTTTAGATCCAGCGGTTTGACCCATGAAAGAATTCCTTGAGAAAACACCAGTATCTGAGAAATTTTCAAATGTATGGGCAGCAGGACTGAGAATACAGGAACTGTGGGCGCCTGCTTCTAGGTTGGTGGTAGCTGCGGAGCGAAGATGGGACCGGCATAGAAAGGACCAGCTTGTATGCGCTGCCAGCCTGATGGTTAGCTCAAAATAAGAGAAAGATCAAAAATTAATACAGCTAGTCCTTCTTAGAATTGTTTTCTTTCCCATATTTATATATGGGAGTGAGCAAGAAGTCCTCCAAGTGCAAAACTTATGTGCTGTAGTTCATTGGTTTATTATAGCAACAAATTTTTGAGAACACACTATGTATCAGACAGTGTTGTAGACTGCCGTACCCGGGTTCCCTGAAAATAAGCCCCACCAGGAAGACAAATCATGCCAGAACTTGCAGCGAAGACCAAGGCAGACTTTACCTTCAACAAATTTATAGTCAAGCAAGACACAGGTGCTCCCCAATTACAGAGACATGGTTATTCTGAGATAGTTTGTAGCGCTATGTAACAACCAAGGACCTAACTATGGGGAAGAGACTCACCTATATCCAGATTTGCACCCCCCAAATTTATCCTCCCAATTCATCTACAGTGAGTTCTTTTAATCTTTAATCTAGTGGTGGGTGAAAGCACAGTGAGGAAAAAGAAGAGCCAGTGACATCTTGAGTTTTGGGGTTTTTTTGTGTGTGTTTGTTTGGTTGGTTAGTTTTGAGACAGGGTCTCACTATGCAGTTGAGACTGACCTGGAACTCACTATGTAGCCCAGGCTGTTCTCAAACTTATAGAGATCCTCCTGCCTCAGCCTCCCGAGTGCTGGGATTATAGGCATGCGCCACCATGCCCGGCTATAGCCGGTGACCATCTTAACACCCTTTCCAGTCTTAACCAAAGTGGAAGCAAGAGAACACACTTAGCATGAGTGGCATAGCCTACAAAGGAGTCATGAAACAGACCCTAAGAAAAGGACAAAGTGAGGCAAGGTGGGTCACACCTGTAATCTCAGCGTTCAGGAGTCAGAGGCAGGAGGATTGCCGTGAGTTCCAGACCAGCCTGGGCTACATACTAAGTTCAAGGAGACAATACCTGATATCTATCAAAACCAGAGAAGTAACCAGAAAAGACAAGAGGGCAACCTCTCATGCACTCTGCCATCATTCTGAGGAAAAGTCAAAATGAGGAAGAAACTGAGATATCTATTTACATAAACCACATAAACCATTCTTCCATCCAGAAGGACAGCCTGGCTGTTAGCCTTTCAGAGAAGGGGATAGGAACAGCCCACATCCAACAGTCACCCCGCCAAGTTACTCTGACGGATTATGGTAACTCTGAGCGCCTGGATACCAAACATCAAGACCACTTCACCCACTTAACTACATGAGCAAAGGTCAGTTTCTGTGCCTTGCATGATTTCTGATCTCTAAAATCCCAACATTTCCTCAAAACTGCTCACTTGACTTTTACCCAGATTTGTTTCGGTCGTACTTTTTAAGTTTTTCTTTCTATCAGTGGATGTTTCCAGTACATGATTACATTCATCATGAGGAGTTGGTACATGTACATAACACATCTTGATTCTTTTTATGTCCTCTTCCCCTCTCCCCACTTTAGCTCTTGGTCCCCTTCCCTTTTGCAAAAGATCTGTCACCCTGTTTTCTATTATTTATTTTTTATTTTGCTCTATATTTATACTTAGGGTTTCTCATATAAGAGAAACCGTGCAGTACTTAAGCTTATGGTTTCAAACTTCATCCATTATCCTACAAATGACTCAAATACATTTTCTTATCCATTCATTTATTGATAGACATGTAAGCTGCTTTCATGCTATTATTGCTGGGCGTGGTGGCACAACTCAGGAGGCTGAGGCAGGATGATTTCTGAGTAGGAGGCGAGCCTGGGCTACATAGTAAATTTGAGCCCAGCCCCAACTACACAGTGAGACCCTGTCTCAAGGAAAAAAAAAAAAAAAGTTACCTATTGTAAGTTGTACTGCTTTACATATAGGTACACATGTATCATTTTAATGTCTTTAACTCTTTCAGGAAGCTATCTAGAAGGGAATAGCTGGGTCAAATGGAATTTCTAGCTTTAGTTGAGGAATCTTCATTCTGATTCCCACAGTAGTTGTACGAGTCTACATTCCCACCGTCAATGTAGAAGGTTCACTTTCCCCATGGCCTCAACAGCATTTGTTGTTTGTTTGTTTGTTTGTTTGTTTGTTTTTTGGTACCATGGATCGAACTTGGGTCCTTGTGCTTGTGAGGCAGGCGGCGGAACCACTGAGCTAAATCCCCGGCCCAGCATTTGTTACTTGATTTCTTGATCTGAGCCATTCTTTCTGCAGTGAAATGGAATCTTAATGTGTTTTAATTTGCATTCCTCAAATGGCCAGTGATGTTGAACATTATTTTCATCTATTATTGGCCATTTGTACTTCTGAGAAGCATTTATTATTGATGCTCAATTTTTGATTGAGTCTTTTATTTTGGGGGGCCTCTTCCCCTCTTATTTAGTTTTTTATATATCTACCCTTTTTGTTCTGTTTTTTGAGACAAGGTATTTCTATGTACGTCAGGCTGGCCTTATTTTTACTTAATTTTTTATTTAAGTTTTATTAAAGGCAAGAAAAGAAACAGGCTCTACAGAGCACCTTTAGCCCAAGTAAAAATAGGAAAAGAACCACATCATACAGCATAAGGGTGGGCCATCCATGCCAGACAGAACACAGTGGGCCAGGGTGTCCGCAAACATTTCATCTTACAAATGCTGGAACTGCGCTACTATGCCTAACTTTTTTTTTTTTTTTTTTTCTTTTTGAGACAGGGTCTTGCAATGTAGTTCAAATTTGAACTCACTGTGTAGTCCAGGCTGGTCTTGAATTTGCATCAGTTTTCCTGCCTCAGCTTCCCAAGTGCTGGGATTACAGGCATGCACCACCATGCCCAGCAGCGCCTAGCCTGTGAATTCTTACATATTCTAGATATTGGTCCTCTATTTGAGGGAGCTGGCAAGTATTGTTCCCATTCTGTAGCTTGTCACTTCTCTCTGTTGGTCATTTCCTTTGATGTGCAGCTTTTTAATTTAATATGATCCCATTTGCTGATTTTTAATCTTGTACAACTATGGTTCTGTTCAGAGAAAGTTCTTGCTCATCCCTGAGTCTTCAGAAGTCTTACTGAACCTATTTTATCTTCCTGCAGATTATTTTAATGCTTAAATCTTTGATCCAGTTTTTAGTTTAGTACCTGGTAAGAGATATGGGTGCAGATTCACTCTTCTGCGTGGTCATGCTTTAATAATAGAAGATTCCACCAGGTCTCTAAGCAACCCTAAAACCCAGGCTCACACATCGGAAATGAGATCCACTGTCACATTTAACTAGTTGAGCTTTGGTTTTTAAATAAATCTCACCCTGCATTCGGTATTTGTAAAGTAGGAGGTTGGTTCAGGAGTCCAGCCCACACACACAGACTTCATCATGAGGAACTGTCGGGCAGCAGTAGGCAGGACGGTTGGGTCCTACATCCAGAAATGAGCATCTTGTTTTCAATTTTGGTCTTGGAATTTAAGTTATGTATAATTTTAGTAGGGAACTGAGAAAGTTACTGAGTCAGACCGGTTTGTGACACATGTGGCTGCTGTGTTCCACACACCTCACCTTTGTTGTTTACACCCAGCCCCTCCGCCAGTGAGGGGAATGAGCAGGTGTATGTCAGGTGGGCCTTTTCCAGAAGACACTGCCAGCCTTGCCTGACCACCGCCTTAACACACCCAAGCCCTCATTTTTCGCAGCTGCAAAAATCCACGTGACAGGAAGACTCTTAAATGTCTCTTAACGAGAACTGTCCTTTCTGTACTCAGAGGAGTAGAGCCAACGTGCCCAGCTCACTTCCAGGTATCATCAGAAAAGAGAACACAAGGAACAAAACGGGAGTTCTGGCTCGCCACACACATAAGAGGTGGAACCCAAGTGAAGACAGGTGTGATGGTTTGGGTCTGGATGTCCCGAGCCTCATGCGGGCAGGGGTGACTGAGTCTCCAGTGTGTGATGCTGGGACTAAGGGTGGCTCATCACTAATTCGGTCCACTTATTGGCTTGGCACTGCCCTAATCCTGGTAGCCTAGATACAATATGAGGGATAAACAGAGGCTTATCTTCTCCCTTGTGGCTTTTGCTGTCTTCTGCCACCCTGCCCTGGAGCCAGCTGAATATGGATTGAAACATCTACAAACTGTGAGCTAGAATAACCCTTTCCCTTTTAACTTGGGGTGTCACATAGTTTGTCTCAGCAAGGAGAGAAAAGTGATGCACAAGGTAAACCCTGACAGCCCACTCTCACAGAACCCCTGAGCTTTCTGTCTAGTTTCCCTTTAGAAGTTCACTTAGGAGTTTTTTTACTCACAGGTCGGGTGACTTTCAGACTTTGGCACCATTTCTATTTAGATATCAAGGCTGGTTCCTAGGCAACCAGTCAGCTCCTGTCCCTCTTACTTCCCCCATCCGGGAGCCAGCTTACAATACTAGCAGAACAGGTCAAACAAAGCTCAATCCTGGACAAATCAGGCTTGAGGAAACTTTAATGAAAGCAAGGAAAAAAATCAGTACAAGAACAATGCAAAAAGGTTCTGTTCCAGGCAGTTTGGGAACAAAACAGAATGAAGTAATCAAATCAGGGTTTTAGAGCTAAATGAAATTTGGGTGTTATTCCAATCTTTATTTATTTATATGTAATAAAGTTGAAGCCCAGAAGTTGCATGACTTGTTCAAGGTCACAGTGGAAGAAAAGCTGTAGCTAGTACCCTGGTGTCCAAACTCCCAAACCTAATCTTTTTCTATATCATACTACCATCAGATTTAAAAAAGAAAAGGATACAGGGTATGGAGGTGCACGTTTGTAATCCCAGCACTCTAGAGGCTGAGGCAAGAGGATCACAGAGAGTTCAAGGCCAGCCTGAACCGCATAGTGAGACCCTGTTTCAAAAAAAAGTATGGATATTTTCCATAAATTAAATCAATTTTAAAAGCTAGGCATATTTGAGTTACAGACTTCTAACATTAGAGGAAAACGAGATTAAAAGCTGGTTAAGTCTGAAAATATATATACAATATGGGGGACAGAAGGAAGAGGGAAGGCGTTTGTGATCACTGGGTAGGCAGGGCAGGAGGCAGCTGCATGTTGGGGGTGGGCTGCATGGGCTGCCAGCTTTCCTGAGTTTGGAGGATGCGGTACAGCTGCTTCAGCTGAGTGACAATGTTGTCTTTGATGTCTGGGGTTGAGATCTGCAGGCGGACACTGCCACTGTCAAAGGAGCGTGTGAAGTCACCGGAAAACATCTCGTAGATCATCCGAGCCACCACGGGAATAACCTGTTCATGACAGAGCACATGAGCATCCACGGAGGAAAAGGCATTTTTAAATAGCAGGAGAGACCCAAGGTGAAAGCCACGCTGCTGTGTAGACACATCTCCCTCCATACTGTCTGGCCAGGCTCTAGACCATCTGTTTGCTCTAGCAGTTGGTTCAGCTGAGCCTAAAGAATCTGGTTATTGGGGCCAGGGATTTAGCTCAGTGGTTCCAGTGCCTGCTTTGCAAGTGTAAGGACCCAAGTTCGATCCCCGGTACCAGAAAGAAAAAAAAAAAAAAAAAAACAGATTAAAGAATTAAAAAAAAAGAATCTGGTTATTGG